TGTGGAACTGTGAGTCCACGAAACCTCTTTTCTTTATAAATTACCCAGTCTTGTGTACATCTTTATTAGCAGCGTCAGTACAGACTAATACACTGGGTGATTAAGAGTGTGTGTGTGTGTGTGTGTGTGTGTGTGTACATGTTTGTGAAATATATATGTGCATCCAATATATTTTTAAACACATGGTTATGACATTAAATTTTCATGATCTTTTATACTGATTTTAGTCATTGTCACAGTTACTGTATTAAATATTTTCTATTTTACTTCTAGCTTTTAAGTCATGGAAACACTTTTTTCCTGTGGTGGTCTTTCTATCCTAGCAGTTTTTTCCTGCCTAAAGGTGATAAAATTGACTCATATAACCCTATCTTTTAAAAAATCTTTAATTCTTCTTAACCAGTTTTAAACACCACCAGAAAATTTCTGCTTAACCCTACCAAAATTATTTACTTCCTGTTTTTACATATCTTTCTTCATCTTAATTTACCTCTCTGACACTCATATTTCTAGCATTTTTAGTTTCTTCACTAAGGACCTGCTCCTAGGGAAATGCATCTTCAGAAATTACTCCATTTTATAAACTTTGAGGAGTATCCTAGTTTATATAAGCACCATCATCCTTAAAATTTAATTCTTGGAGTGTGTTGCTAAAATATTAAGTATGCAAAAATTATATTCTTCTTGAAAACTATGTGAATAAACTATCCTTAGACAGAGCCATAATAATGGCAGACATATTCTGGCCAGTGATTTGCAGTTTTTAAATAAAACTCATGCATATACTGTCCTAGTTAAGGAAAAAATCAGACAAGTCTATGAATCAAGGCTAAATACCTAAATCTGTAGATGAAACAAATCAGCATGGAATTTAAAATAAATTAAAGAGGATCTAACATAAAAACTCTTATGCTTTTGTATTGTTTGGTACTGAATTGGTTGAGAAACTGGGAGTTTATTCCAGGAAAACCTAAGTAGCTTTTACCTAATTGACCGGTCACAGAATATTTTCATTCCAATGGTGCTTGTCATCAAGAGAGTGCGCTTCAAATCGCTTCATCACGTGTAAAGTACTTAGAGAGGGACTTTTTTCTAGGCACATGCTTGGCCTATAATATGTGCCTGCACTTGTTTGGAGTGTATAATAGATTTATATTCATTGTATGAGGAGATCTTTATCGTTAATTCATCATATCTGAAGTACATTTTCTGGGTGAAACTTAACTTCACTTTTGAAATTTCACAGTGGAATGATGACTGCACATGAAGACACTGGCCCCATCTTTCCATTATTATTAATGATAAATGCTGAGCGCTACGAAGGGGCGCAATTCAAGACTGACTCTAGACCATTGACTTCAAACCATCAGGTGGAATTTCAGAAAATATCTTGTAGGCTCGGTGCAGTGGCTCTCACCTGTAATCTCAGCACTTTGGGAGCCTAAGGAGGATGGATCACTTGAGGCCAGGAGTTCAAGACAAGTCTGGCCAACATAGTGAAACCCTGCCTCTACTAAGAAAAAAAAAAAAGTTGACTGGGTGTTGGGGGCACATGCTTATAATCCTAGCTACTCAGGAGGCTGAGGCAAGAGAATTGCTTGAACCCAGGAGGTGGAGGTGGAGGTTGCAGTGAGCCACTGATGTCTGTGGTGGGCCATCTGGAGGAGCCACTGCCCTCTCACTGGCAACAGCAGGGAGGCGTGGTCAGGGCTATATGCTCTATGGAGCCCACAAGAGCCCCACCCCCACTGGGCACAGCTCCACCTGCCCAAACTGTGGCTGTAGATTCAGGAATCCCTGTACTCTTAGGGACCTGGGAAGGCCCCCGCCCCGCCCTTGCAGGCTCAGAAGTGCCTGTGCCCACTACCTGGCTTCCCTCTGCTGTTGGCACCCTCTCCAGTCTCAGAGCAAAATTGGGTCCAAGCCTGGTCAATGTCACAGCCCAGCTGGGTATGTGCATGGTCAGGATAGGGCTGACATGCCAGCTTCTTTCTGCCTCAACTCCCTCTGGACTTTGGGCACCAACAAGCATGGGAGGGAAGCCAAGGGGGTGCTGAGGGCAGCTTGGCACTGTCCTGAAGGTGCCCCTTGGCACAAACAGCCTGGGCGTGATGAACCACAGCAGAAGGCAGACAGGCTCCTGGTCAGAAGGAGCAGTTCCCCAGTGAGTTCCCACCTGTAAGCCAGGGAGATCCTAAAGGCTAGGGGCCGGGCTGCCAATCCCTGCGGACTGGAGTGGGAACTTGTGTTGCCTTTTCTGGGCCCACCCATGGCCGCCCATGGACCAATCAGCACACACTTCCTCCCTTTTGAAGCCATAAATGCCCCAGGTTTACCCCCTGCCTGCAGAGAGGAGGCACCCACTCTAGGGCTTCCTCTCTGCTGAGAGCTGCACAGATGATGGGACAGCCAGCTGTGGAGACAAGCTACCCTCTTGTAGATAGCTGAACACTTGTTGGGATTACTTGCCTAGCAGAGAGGAGCTACCCTCTCTGCGAGGAGCTGAACATGCTTTAGGACACAGCTCCTGATTGCGGAAAGGAGCTGCCCGCTGCAGGTTTCCACTGAGCTGTTCTATTGTTCAGTAAATCTCCTCTTCATCTTGCTTGACCCCCACTTGTCTGTGTACATCATTCTTCCTGGTTGCAAGACAAGAACTCAGAACCCAATGGGTGCCTGGGTTAAAAGAGCTGTAATACAAACAGGGCTGACACATACCCGTTGCTCGCCATGTTGCAGGCAAAGAGAAGGAAAGAGCTGTGGCCCTTTGGGGATCCCAGACCTGGAAGCTCCCTGAGCTAGGGCTGTGACTCTCTCTTTGGGGCCTTGCGGTTCCTGGCATCTCCAAGCTTCCAGGTGCCACTGTGTTCCCTGGTGCCAGCTGTGGAAGCTGCTTGCGATAAGTCTGGTCCGGCTGCAGCCTCAGCACCCATGCCAGTACCTGGAGCTGCACACCCCACTGTAGCAGCCGGCATGTTTGACTGTGCACAGTAGCAGACCCCACACTGGGTCACACACCCCTCACCATTCCACATCTGACTTGCCCTTGGCAGGCATGAAACCTAGACCAGTGGCATGCAGCCTTCCAGGCTCAGTGAATAAAATGAGCCCAGCAGACCCGAGCAAAACTCTGGCAAAGGTGCCACCGGCCACAAAGATTTCCAGCCAGATAAAAGACACCCTGTAACACTGAGATCACACCACTGCACTCCAGCCTGGAGGACAGGGTGAGACCCTGTCTCAAAAAAAGAAAAAACAAGAAAGAAAGAAAATACCTTTTAAACTATAGTTACATGATGCTCTAAGCCTGTTTTCCTTGAAAGGGAAGGGAGCCGGTGTCCCTGTTCATCACCTGTCATTGTTCCACCCAGCTACCTTTTGGTCTCAGACACTTTAATGTGGGTGTGTCCTTTAAAGACCCCTGGCCTGCCAGTGCAACTCACTGGCAATTCAGCACTGGTCATGATCCTTCACAGTTTTAAGTGTCACTTTCCAGATCTGGGAAGTAAAATTGCTCGCTTGGCTGTGTTGTAGAGAAAGCCCTGGCTCTGGATGAGAGTACACAGCCTGGCATTGACCTCTGCCATGAATAGGATGTGGGGCACTGGAAGTCTTTGGAATTCAATTTATAGTTATAAAATGAATTTTTATAAAATTTTATAAATTATAAATTTATAAAGATGGAAGTCTTTGGAATTCAATTTATAGTTACAAAAATGTGCCGGTATACAGCCTGGCATTGACCTCTGCCGTGAATAGGATGTGGGGCACTGGAAGTCTTTGGAATTCAATTTATAGTTATAAAAAATACTAGGGGCTGAGCACAGTGGCTCACACCTGCAATCCCAGCACTTCGGGAGGCTGAGGCAGGTAGATTGCTTGAGTCCAGGAGTTTAAGACCAGCCTGAGCAACATGGTGAAACCCTGTCTCTACCAAAAATACAAAAATTAGTTGGGCATGGTGGCACACACCTGTTTTCCCAGCTACTTGGGAGGCTGAGTGACATCCTGATGGTTTTAGTCCGAGAGTTGGAGGTTGAAGTGAGCCGAGATTGTGCCACTGCACTCCAGCCTGGGCGACGGAGCCAGACATTGTCGCAAAAACAAACAAACAAACAAACAAACAAACAAACAAAAAGGCACTTGGACTAGAAAATCATAACCAACTCCTTTTAAGTCTTAAAATCTGTGCCAGCCACTAGCTGAGCACTTGACATATTTTTTGTCTCATTTTAAATCTGTGAAGAAGGCGTTATTATATCTGCAATACAGATGAGGAAATTAGGCTCAGAGAGGTTAAATATCCTAAATGATGTCACATAACCAGTAAGTGGCCGTGCCAGGATTTGTACCTGAGAACTTGCACCCTAACCATTCCTTCTCTTAGCTGTTGCATGAACTCCCAGAATTACAAGAGTACTTCCAGATGTAAAATATCATGTTCATGTGTTGTTTCTTCCAACAACTTACACAAGGTAGGCAGGCATGTATTATTTACCACCAGTATAGCTATGAAGAAACTAAGGCTTCATAAGAAAATGGAGGCTATAGAGGCCATGAACTTATATTAACAGTAAAAAGCAGATGGGACCTATTTTCATGGGGTTTATAATAAAGAGATCTCAAAAGAAAGATGAACATGCGATTGATATTGTGGGTATCTTTAACAAGGTTCTTTAAAAGTTCTTCTCATTTGTCTGTATTTTTAAAACTCTGTAAAATAAAATATAGATACTTCAGCTGTTGAATTTCAGATGCTAAATCAGAATACTATATTTTAGTCCCTTGGTAAATTATGCATTTTTCAGGGAGTATCTGCATCTTCAGAGATAATATTTAGTGACTTTCAACTGGCTATTTTCTTTGTTCTATAGTATAATTGCAATAACAAACTTACTGCCAAGGAGCGAGGCAGGAGTTGGGTTAAATAGAAGCATTGAGGGGATAGCTAATAAATATGTTAGCGATTTGATCTCTGCATTTTTTTTTTTCAATTTTAGAATAAAGAACTAAAAACCCAGGTAGCGCTTTCGTCTGAAACTCCTAGGGCAAAGGTATCTAAGGCTGTTTCTACAAGGTAAGATCTTTGTCTTCTTCCACCCTATCTTCACAACCTCTGTTGAACACGTTTGACATTCAACCCACTCGAGAAAGATTCCAGTCTGACAGTACTTACGTTAGCATTTGTTTACTATCTGTCACCCAGTTTCTATTAAGAACTGTGTTAATCTTGTTCATCATTTAATCTTCAAAGCCTAACATAGAAATACTAAATAAATTAATGAACAAATTTACCTCTTTTTTTCTTTTTTTTTTCTTTTTTTTTTTTTTTTTTTTTTATTTATTTATTTTTTTTATTGCATTTTAGGTTTTGGGGTACATGTGATGAACATGCAAGATTGTTGCATAGGTACACACTTGGCAGTGTGCTTTGCTGCCTTCCGTCCCCTCACCTGTATCTGTCATTTCTCCCCATGCTATCTCTTCCCACCTCCCCACCCCCCGCCCCTCCCCCATTTCCCCCCAACAGACCCCAGTGTGTAGTGCTCCCCTCCCTGTGTCCATGTGTTCTCATTGTTCAACACCCACCTATGAGCGAGAATATATGGTGTTTGATTTTCTGCTCTTGTGTCAGTTTGCTGAGAATGATGGTTTCCAGGTTCATCCATGTCCCTATAAAGGACGTGAACTCATCGTTTTTGATGGCTGCATAATATTCCATGGTGTATATGTACCACATTTTCCCTATCCAGTCTATCATCGTTGGGCATTTGGGTTGGTTCCAGGTCTTTGCTATTGTAAACAGTGCTGCAATGAACATTCGTGTGCACGTGTCCTTGTAGTAGAATGATTTATAATTCTTTGGATATATACCCAGTAATGGGATTGCTGGGTCAAATGGGATTTCTATTTTTAGGTCCTTGAGGAATCGCCACACTGTCTTCCACAATGGTTGAATTAATTTACATTCCCACCAACAGTGTAAAAGTGTTCCTATTTCTCCACATCCTCTCCAGCATCTGTTGTTTCCCGATTTTTTAATGATCACCATTCTAACTGGTGTGAGATGGTATCTCAATGTGGTTTTGATTTGCATTTCTCTGATGACCAGTGATGATGAGCATTTTTTCATATGTTTGTTGGCCTCCTGTATGTCTTCTTTTGTAAAGTATCTGTTCATATCCTTTGCCCATTTTTGAATGGGCTTGTTTGTTTTTTTCTTGTAGATCTGCTTTAGTTCTTTGTAAATTCTGGATATCAGCCCCTTGTCAGATGGGTAGGCTGCAAAAATTTTTTCCCATTCTGTTGGTTGCCGATTCACTCTACTGACTGTTTCTTTTGCCGTGCAGAAGCTGTGGAGTTTGATTAGGTCCCATTTGTCTATTTTGGCTTTTGTTGCCATTGCTTTTGGCGTTTTGGTCATGAAGTCCTTGCCTACACCTATGTCCTGAATGGTTTTGCCTAGATTTTCTTCTAAGGTTTTTATGGTATTAGGTCTGATGTTTAAGTCTTTAATCCATCTGGAGTTAATTTTGGTGTAAGGTGTCAGGAAGGGGTCCTGTTTCTGCTTTCTGCACATGGCTAGCCAGTTTTCCCAACACCATTTATTAAACAGGGAGTCCTTTCCCCATTGCTTGTTTTTGTCAGGTTTGTCGAAGATCAGATGGTTGTGGGTATGTTGTATTCTTCTTTACCCTAAAACAAGCCCAATCTCAACTCCAACATCTAGACATTACAGATCATCTCCTTTACTGTCTTTCTTCTTCTGTTGCTCATGTTTTTTTGTGCCATTGATGGACATTTTAAACTTTAATTGTTGGCATTTATTGAAATTGCTATGTTGTCAAATCTAATAAATTATTAATATAAATGTCACCAGGGCAAGAATAGTTCTTTTTATTTCTTGCATTGGTAAGAACGAGGATCTTCAACAACCCCCTAATAATGAATGATTTCAAGTGATGATGTCCTACTAAAGAAATTGAAATGATGATTGAAACCATCTAAGTTATTTTTTTAAGTTCCATTTTTGTTGTGGTTGTTGTTGGCAGAATCAGAATCTGGGCTCATATCTCATTTCCATAAACCCTATGAAATTATCATTTAAAAGAAAACATAGTCTAATTACATGTATCATTTAAAAAGTGATTAAAAACTTCCTCTTCCAGCAGCTTTTGAATTTCCCAAGCTAGTCCCTCTAGGGAAGAATCTCATTTTCTAAACCTCTCTTCAGCCCAGTGCCAGAGGTAGAAAAATCAGACCCACTGTGATTAGCATCAGTCTAGGAATTCAGGAAGATTCATCTTTCTCTTTAAAACTGCCTGAAACAGTATTTCACTTTGCTAATGCTGTATGTAATTAGAGACTAGAGATGAAACTATTATGATTCAAGTCCTCTAAAATCTTTTGGCCTCTGCATGCTAAGTTATAAACTTTCCGGACACTAGCCCTGCAACTTCTAGAAAAGAAAAGAAATGAAGCCCCAGAGGTTTTCCAGGAGGAGATGAAATGCCTACATCTCAGAAGCAGGGAGAGTAGAGTCACTTCAGTTGGGTGAGACATGAAAGGTCTGGACTAGGAGGGCAAGCCTAACATTCCAAGGGAAGGAAGAATGGTCAGTATTTTGCTCCCTTCATCTGTGTCATTCCCACCGGGGTGCTGAAGCACTGTGGCTAGTCCTAGCTGCTTGAACCCTGGAGGGAATGCAGCCATAATGGCGCAGACAAGTAAACAGCTGGTTATCTTCATATTGTAACTACTCTAGTATTGAATGCTGAGACTCTGGCTGGTATATAAGGGTCATGTTGGAGAAAATTACTTTTCTGGCCAACTCTTTAGCTACAGCTATTAGTATTTAATTAACAGTTAAAGGTTTACTGTTTTAAAGACTTTTCTTCTCCCTATGACTTGGGAAAGGTCAAACGGGTAAATTTCCTAATTGAAGTGGTGACAGTAGACTGAATGTCTCCTTTGTTCTGTGATTTTTGATGGAAATTCTAGTGTTAATGATGTAAAACAGCAGTCCCCATTCTTTTTGGCACCAGGTTTCATGGAAGACAGTTTTTCCACGAACCAGTGTGGAGAGGGTGGTTTTGGGATGATTAAAGTGCATTACATTTATTTCTATTTTTATTACATTGTAATGCATAATAAAATAATAATAAACTCACTGTAATGTAGAATTAGTGGGAGCCCTGAGCTTGTGTTCCTGTAACTAGCCGGTCTCAACTCGGGGTGAGACAGATATTCTGGCAGTAGATTCTCATAAGGAGCACGCAACCTAGATCCATGGCATGCGCAGTTCACAATGGGGTTCGTGCTCCTGTGAGACTCTAATGCCATTGCTGATCTGACAGGAGGTGCCGCTCAGGAGGTAATGTGAGTGTTGGGGAGTGGCTGTAAACACAGATGAAGCTTCCCTCTCTTGCCTGCTGCTCACTTCCTGCTATGTGGCCTTATTCCTAACAGGCCATAGACTGGTACCAGTCCATGGCCCAGGGGCTGGGGACCCCTGATATAAAGGTAGGACTCACATTTGCAAAATAAAATATGACCCACTGGCTACTTAAAACATGTAAATGGTAGTTTGGTTTGGTAAATCTGGATTCACGAATATACAGTGAAATTAACTCTAGGGAGAGATTTGAGTATAAAGAAAACTGCTAAGACTGAAATTAGAAAAATATGTACACATAAAAATTTAATCCTGGCAAATCTCTACACATTCTCTCAGGGAGTACAAACAAGGTTTTTTCTTCTTTACTTGAGCATTAGAACACATAGGTCCATCTTTCCTTCCTTTCTTCCTTCATCCCTCCGTCCCTCCCTTCTCTCCCTTCTCTCAGCCCTTCCTCCTCTCCTCTCCTTCCCCTTCCCTGCCCTTCCTCTTCCCTCTTTCCACCCCTCCTCCCAACCAGCCCCTCTCCTCTCCTCCTCTTCCTTTCATTCTCTCTGTTTTTCTCTTTTGACAGGTTGGAGAAAAGAGAAAAACAACTTTTTCTGTGGCCCAGGCTGGAGTGCAGTAGCGTAATCATAGCTTGCCTTAACCTCAAACTCCTGGGCTCAAGGGGTTTTCCCACCTCAGCCTCCCCAGTAGCTAGGGCTACAAGCACACCATCATACCTGGCTATTTGCTTTTTGTAGAGAACAGGGTCTTGCTATGCTGCCTAGACTGGTCTTGAACTTCTGGGCTCAAGTGATTCTCCCGTCTCAGCCTCCCAAAATGTTGGGATTACAGTCATGAGCCACTGTGTCCAGTCTGATGTTTCTTGAGTGGTTTGCTTGGGATTAGGGGCCATTTTGTTCAACAACAATAATAAAATAGCCACATGTATATATGTGTATGCATGCATATATGTCTATGTACATATATATCTACATATATATATATACTGTAAGTACATATGTACTTACAGTTTTGAATGCAAGAATCTCAGAGTGAGGAAATAAATTCAGGCTATGCAAAATGCACTGAACTAAAACAGGCTGAGGGAACAGTAGATCTGTGTTTTGTCATCTCCAGCTCACTCTGGGGAACCTCTTCACCAGGTAGAATGGCAGATACAGACTCTTCCTCTCTCTGGCTTCCCTCATGCTCCCTCATTCTTGTTCTGTTACATCTAGCAGAATCTACATACATTAAATGCTTTCACAATGCGATTCTACTGTATATCATGGGGAATTGGTCAGAATATATCTATTAACATATCTCTTAGAACAAAGCAGTTAGTTCAGATTTGATATTAATGTATTGTGGTAGTTGAGTATGGTGGTCTAACCATGATCATTAGAGTTTAGCATTTTCCATTTTGATCATCGTGTTGTCTTTTCTACAGTGAATTGAAGACCGAAGGTATTTCCCCTTATTTCATGCTGATTAGGTTACGGAAATGAGCTGGCTGGTCGAAGATCTGATTTAGAAAGACTGCGTAAGTCTTATTTATTCTCTAAAACACAACACAAACTTCATGTTAAAATGGCACAATGCCATTATTTAAATTGAACTTATTACATACCAATGGCTTTGCAAGAAGATGATATTTTAGAAAATTAAACAAATATGTAAGTAATGGAAGGACTCTTCCAAACTTACCAAATAGGTGAAGGAACCAGGTGCCTTCCCATGACAGTAGACAGATTCTGCTTTAAATTTTTTTTAAAAAAAAATCTGAATCTTGTTTTCAATTTGTCTTTCTAATGGGACTGTTTTAAGATTGTCAACTCTGAGTTTTTGCTAGTGGTTTTTAAGTGTATAAATAGAAGGGAGAGTGTTTAGATGTATGAATAAGCATATATTTTCTGCAAATATATGTATGAAAGGCATATATATGTATAAGTGAGCATGCATATTTGAAAGTTGACTTTTGTATGATAAGAAAGATCTCACAGCGACATAACTTCATCTCCTGATCCATTGTTTGTGGGAGAATTACACTCAACTGAATTATGGGCAGGAGAAAGAGCAGATTCCTTTTAGCTAATTCCCCAACCCGTACGCCCCTCTGAAGTTGAGAATCATGTGTGCCTCACCACACCTTAGAGCAGGCGTCCCCAAACTATGGCCTACGAGCCGCATGCAGCCCCCTGAGGCCATTTATCCGGCCCCCCACCGCACTTCAGGAAGGGGCATCTCTTTCATTGGTGGTCAGTGAGAGGAGCACAGTATGTGGTGGCCCTCCAATGGTCTGAGGGACAGTGAACTGGCCCCCTGTGTAAAAAGTTTCGGGACGCCTGCCTTACAAAATGACTGTTCTTCAGTAGTTCTGGGATTAAACATTGGTTTCTAGAGGTAACCTATATGCATAAACACATAGGGGTGCACATGGTATCCTCTGCCTTTGTGACAAATTTTCTTCTTGATATTTATTACTAGTATCTAAATAAAATATTGGGGGGAATAGAAAAATAATGGTGTTAGCCCATACTTCCATGAAAATGTATTTATAGTAGGCTCAAGGGAAGAATGGCTGCTGTTTACAGCCAGGAAGAATCTGAATTCATGAATTGGAACAGTATATCTAGAGTTTTTGTGAACGTGTGCTTAAATTCTGATACATGTCTTCTTTGTAGGTGGAGTTTGTGATTGCAGTGAATAAGACCTAACTTGCAGAAATGCAGACATATACTCAGGAAAGAACAAACTTTATTTAAATGTATAATGAGAGAACTTGGTGCCCCTAAAGGATGAATTTCCTTTGGGCCTTTGGTCTTCCTTTCTAGTATATAACTTTAAATATTTGCTCAGGAAAGATGCTTCAAGCCTTTCATTGTGGAATGTGAAATATCAGTGTTGTCTATAAAATATTTGAAGGTGTATAAAAATGAGATGATGTAACATATTTACAAATTCATCCAAGTACTGTAATGCTTGATTTGTTGTATAACAGTGTGTGAATGTTATGCTTCATGGTATCTTCGGAAACATTTTTATTGCTTGCTTATTTTGAAGTTATAAGTTATCCGTTAACATTTAAGGTATAGTTACTCTATGCCAGGAAGAAGTCTAAGTCCTTTATTTGTATTAATTCCTTTTATCTCCCCCAAAGCCCTCATAAGCGGATAGTATTATTTCTGTTTTACAGAGGAAGATACTGAGCGTGGTTGAGTAATTTGCCCAGCTGCTAACTGTAAAGCAAATATTTGAACCTTTTGACATGGCTATTGATAGTCATTCTACTTGCTCACATGGTGGTCTGAGAAATTTCCCAGCTATAGAAATCTCTCTCTTTTTGCCACTTTAATAAGCATATAGCTTCCTGGATGACTGCCTGTGTTATCCTATGGATGACAGTAAGAAACAACACTTACTGATAAAATCAGTGTTTTGCTGAAATGAGTTGACTTTCACCAGTTGAACTACCATTGTGAGAACTCAGTTCAGACAAACTTCCTTGCTAAAAATCTGCTTATCATACATTTATTATTTATGACTTTATGTCACATTGAAGAATTTCTTTGTGATACATTTTCAGGCACACTTGCAGGAAAATTAGGATCATGAATCCTGCTTTAAGAATTTGAAGTATAGTAAGAGAATCTGTCTTTTACTAGGAGATCAGATTCCTTTTATACCTCATTTATCATGCTGGATTATAGTAAATTGCAGATTTTGGAATAAGCTTATTTAACTGACCCAGCAATCTTGATAATTTCCATTAGAATAACTTATGTTAAGGTCAAAAGTGGAAAGACATTGTTGGTTTTTATTTTGATTTCACTATACTCATTTTTGAACATGGAAATACAGTTGTGAAACAACCTATGCAAAAATCATAACAGTGAGAAAATTATGACAGTGAAATAGCTCTCACCTAACTTTCTTACCTCCAATCTGCCCTTGGTCATTCCTGAGTGTGGGCCAACCTAACTTTGGGAGAAATTAGCTTTATAGCTTAAATGATAACAGCCCTTCCCAAAACTAAACTGCCTTTGTAAAACTAATGGAAGGCCACTAGGTTAAGAGGAGAGGGGCCTAAATTCTGCTAAGGTATAGACACAGTTATATGATGACCAGCCATTATTCCAGAGGTCACAAGCTATGCAACTTTCCCTGTTATTCTTGTAAATAACATTAGTATTGTAGAACCTAAGATTGGCCTTTTGAAATATCTTGTCAGGCTTCTGCACTTTTTTTTTTTTTTTTTTTTGAGATGGAATCTTGCTCTGGCACCCAGGCTGGAGTCCAGTGTTGTGATCTCAACTCACTGCAACCTCTGCCTCCCAGATTCAAGTGATTCTCCTGCCTCAGCCTCCTGAGTAGCTGGGATTACAGGCACCCACCACCATGCCTGGCTAATTTTTGTATTTTTAGTAGAGATCGGGTTTTGCCATATTGGGCAGGTTGGTCTTGAACTCTTGGCCTCAGGTAGTCCACCTGCCTTGGCCTCCCAAAGTGCTAGAATTACAGACATGAGTCACCATATCCAGCCCACTTCTGCATCTCTGATGACCAGATGGCCCCACCTGAAGGAGCAGCTCCTCTGTGGCCCCCAACCAAAGTTGGACTCTGGTCAGGAGGACCATTTTCTGCACTTCAAGGATTGTATCCCCAACCAGTCAGCATTTCTCATTCCCCTAAACCCTCTGCCTACAAAACTACACTTGAAAAACCCTAGCCTCTGAATTTTCAAGGAAGCTGATTTGAGCCAGCTCTGTGTGCATAGAACTCTTTCTCTACTGCAATCCCCCTGCCTTGATTGGCTCTATGTAGGCAGTTGGCTCAATGTGGGCAGAGGGCAAGATAAACCCACTGGGTGGTTACAGTGGAATATGATACAGATGAGACCTGCTCATGATGTCTCCAGGCTCACTCTGGAAGTCTTTGGATTTCCTGAGAATAAAACTAAGCCATTTCAGAGGACCCCAAAAGTTCAAATTCTTCAAATATAAATGTGTGTTTATAATACCCTCAGCCTTATCATTTATTTGTCATACATAGTTTTCTATACCCTTATTATTTCCACTTTTATCATTTGAAATGCTTTAAAAAACTAAAAAACCTCTCAGTGAAAAAAGAAAACAATATTACAAGGGGGAATACTCTTTATTCAGCTAGAATAGTACTCTACAAGAAATATAGAAAAAGAAACACTAGCTCAGTTGTATTCTAAATGATTATACTTCTAATTACACTCTTGAATTTATTAGATAAGAAGGTCTGAGGTGGGTCTGAAATTCACACATGAAGTCAGGAAAAGAAAAGAAACTTAGTACCTTGATTACATATGTTGTTACAAATTATTGTTATGAAATATTTAAACAATTGCTCTAGTATATCTTTTGAATAATTGCTTATAATATGCCTTACCATAAATAAAATTGATGCTACATTGTGTGAATTATTTTTATTTCTTTTTATATTAAAATTATGCTTCCTCAATTTTTTCTGCTGGTTTTCCATGGGTTCAAATTAACAATAAAATAAAACTACTAAGCTTTTTCTCTAAATTTGAGTACAAGATTAACATAAAAGAATCAACATATTAACAGTTGGTGAAAAGACAGACAGATCAATGGGAGGAAAGAAGAATCCACAAATATGTCCATGTAGATGATTGATTGAGTTTTGAAAAAGATGTCAAGACTATCCAATGGGGGAAGGAAAGTCTTCCCATTGGTACCAGAAATACTGGAAATGTTGACATTTGAGCCAGCTCTGTGTGCATAGAACTCTTTCTCTACTGCAATCCCCCTGTTGACATGGGGTGGGGGAAAATAAACATTGATCCTTACTTCATACCATATACAATACAATAACTAAGCTGAAATGGGCAATATGCCTAGATGTAAAGCTAAAACTACAAAATTTCTAGGAGAAAACCTAGTAGATTATCTTTGCAATATTAAGGCAGACAAGATTCCAAAATACCACATGAAGAACATGAGCCATAAAAGAAAAAAACTGTAAATTGAATTTTATTAACATTCATCTCTTTTGCTTTTTGAAAGACACCACTAAAGAAACAAAAAGTAAGCCATAGAATTAGAGAAAGTACTCACAACATATATAGGGTTTGATTCCTGAATACATAAAGACTTAAAACATCAATATAATAATACAATAAAAATGGGCAAAAATGATTGAACTATTGCTTTACAAAACAAGATCTACAAATAACAAATACATACCTGAAAAGATGCTTAATACATTAGCTGCCAGGGAAATACAAATTAAAACCATTAAGAGATACCAAATAAGTGGGATCTAATACTCTAACCCATTAGAACAAACAAAATTAAGACGACTGGCCATTACTGAGGATGCGGAAAACTAGGCTTATATTTTAGTACAAGTGGGAATGCAAACACAGTGCAACCACTTAGAAAACAGGCTGTTTCTTAAAAAATTAAATGTGAACTTGCCATTTGACCTAGTCACTCAATTCCTCATTATTTTGCCCAAGGGAAACAACAATTTTGTCCACAGAAAGAATCGTATGTGAATTTTCATAGCTCTTTATTTATAAGAGCCCCAAACTAAAAACAATTGTCCATTAATAAACAGACAAACAAAATGTGATACACCCATATATTAGAATATAACTCAACAATATAAAAGGACCAAATCACAAAAATATTCAGTGGATGAATCTCAAATCCTTATGCTAAGTGAAAGAAGCCAGAAGGAAAAAGAGGATATACTATATGATATCATCATGGTAGAGAGCAAATTAGTAGAGTTGACCTTGAACAACATGGCATCGAACTGCAAGGGTCCACTTATATGCAAATGTTCTTCCACCTCTGCCACCCCTGAGACAGCAAGACCATCTCTCCTCTTCCTCAGTCTATTCAGTATGAAGACAAAGATGAAGACCCTTATGATCATCCACTTTCACATAATGAGTAGTAAGTATATATTAGGATTGTCTTAATAACATTTTCTTTTCTCTAGCTTACTTGATTGTAAGAATGCAGTATATAATGCATACCCCAAATATGTGTTAATTGATTACTTATCAGTAAGGCTCTGATCAATAGTAGGCTATTAGTAGTTAAGTTGTAGGGGAATCAAAAGTTACATACCAATTTTTGACTTCCTAATTTGGGGATGGTCAGTGCTCACAACCCCTACATTATTCAAGGGTCCCCGGGACAGGAGTAGAGGCAGGAAGAGACTACAAAAGGGCACAAGAAAACATTGGAGGCCATAGCAATGCTCAGTGTCTTCAAAATAGTGTTTTTTATGGGAACATTCCATGACAATGGTCATTACATTATACAGTTTAAATATGTGCGATGTATTGTATAGAATGTTTGCTTCAATAACGTAGTAAAAGACACTGTTATTCTATAGTCCACCCAATCAGATTCTCTGGCAGGATTCACTCGTTTTTCTTTCAGCAAATATTTATTGATCACTTCCTATTTTCCAGGCATTATTCTAGATGCCAGAGCTACAGTAGTGGGCAGTTGGTGGGTGGGGCAGGCAGGGAGGGACAGGGAAAAAACAGAAGTCTTTACCTTTATGGGAATACTTTCTAGCGAGGAGGGACAGATAATCAAGTCAGAGGTGTCTAAAGAACTGAAGAAAAATAAAGCTGAGCCCACAAATAGGGAGTTTTAGGGATGACAATGTGGTTGCAATTTTAAATTGGGTGATAATTTAACAAATGTTAACTACAGATTGGCAATT